CCCTCCGGCCTCTCCGCAGGCGAGTGTCCCAGCCCGGCGCGCGGCGGCGCCACCAGGCGGAAGAAGCCGCAGCGGCGGAACCGCACGACGTTCAACAGCAGCCAGCTGCAGGCGCTGGAGCGCGTGTTCGAGCGCACCCACTACCCCGACGCCTTCGTGCGCGAGGAGCTCGCCCGGCGCGTCAACCTCAGCGAGGCGCGCGTGCAGGTGAGTGCGGAGCCCGGGCCCGGGGAGCGCGCAGCCAGTCGCTCGCTGTGTGACCTCGAGCAAACGACTTAACCTCTCTGCGCTCGGGTTCCTCCGTTTCAAGTGAGGATCACGTGGGTCTGTCTCGTAGGGGTCTAACGAGAACGAAGGGATTAATATTTGTGAAGCGCTTGGAACAGTGCCTGGCACAAAGGATCTTGATAAACAAAAGTCGTTGTTCTCAGTGCCTCCGCTGTGCCAGCTGTGAGCCGAGGGCAGCACGCGCCTCTCTCCTTGCACGCTGATGCACGGCTGAGCGCTCCCCTGTCCCTTCCTTCCTTCGCTCGCCAACACATCCGTACCCAGCAGCAGGCACCTCTTACCGTCCCCATGCTACGGAGGAGGGGAGAGAGGTTCAGAGGGTGACGCGGCCAGCCCAGGGTGGGCAGCACAGCAGGCATGCACCCGGCTACGCTCCACAGCCCAGAGCACCCTGCTCACCACACCCTCCTGCCCCAGGTCTGGTTCCAGAACCGCCGTGCCAAGTTCCGCCGGAACGAGCGGGCCATGCTGGCCAACCGCTCCGCCTCGCTGCTCAAGTCCTACAGCCAGGAGGCCGCCATCGAGCAGCCCGTGGCTCCCCGGCCCACCGCCTTGAGTCCAGACTATCTCTCCTGGACAGCCTCGTCCCCGTACAGGTGACAGTGGGAACCCTTTCACGTGTTGGGAGGGGACAGCCAGGGGATCTCATGAAGACTTTTAGGGACCAGACCCCTGTGAGAATCTGAAGAGAGCTTGAATGGTGTCCAGGACTCCTCGGATGTGGGGGTCCACCAAGTGGTGTGTGGGTGTCTGTGTGTGCCCGTGAGAGTGTGCTCATGAGCATGGGCATGTGGTTGTGTGCATGTGAGTTTGAGCATGCGTGTGTGTCCTCATCGGGGCACATGCATGGCCGCGAGTGTGCATGCATATCCACGTGTGAGTGTGTGCGTGTGTGTGTGCACGAATGCATGGAGGGGGAGAAGACAGGCTGTCTGGACTGGGAGCTGAGGACAGGCGTCACCCTGGGGGAGCTGAAATCCTGCAGGAAGATTTCTAGGCCAGCAGGGGAGCCCCAACACCCTGTGTCCACCCTGCAGGTGAGAAACAGGCTGGGAGCCTCAAGGGAATGGCCTGCCTGTCCTGTGGGCCTGGCTGGGGCCCAGCACCAAGTTCTGGGACAGTTTTGTCTGGGTCAAAGCTGGAAAAAGGCTCTTAAGTGGCCAAGCAGGAAGGAAGACGGGGGAGGTTCTGGGGAGTTGGGCCGCCATACCCCATAATTCCAGCAGCACCACTGGCTCCTTAGTCTGTGTGAGCAGCGCTGCTGGAGCCGTGGTCCTGCGGGAGGTGGGGGTGCAGTGGGGCAGCTGTAGGATCGTAGTCCTCACGGCTCTCTCAACTTCCCTCCCTGCCCTGTCCTTACCTGGGGTGGGAGAACAACCAAGAGGCATCACAAATGTGTGTTCATCCCACCTGCATCCTGCTGGGGGCCAGGCCCTGCTCTCAGGAAGCTCACAGTCCAGTGACGAATGCCAGCAGATACATGGCGGGGGCTCCTTCTGATGCTTCACCAAACCCTGCAGCCCCAGACCACCCCTACCCCCGGGAAGGGCTTCCCAGGAGGGCCAGCGAGGAGGGGAGGAGGAGGAGCAGAGGCTGGTGTGCGGACTGGCAGCCAGAAGCAGTCAGCTCCAGGCAGCAGGCCAGCTGCACCAATGTGTCCCTTGTGTTTCTGTTTCCCCCAGCACGGTGCCGCCCTACAGCCCTGGAGGTTCAGGCCCCACGACCCCAGGGGTCAACATGGCCAACAGCATCGCCAGCCTCCGCCTCAAGGCCAAGGAGTTCAGCCTGCACCACAGCCAGGTGCCCACGGTAAACTGACGGCCAGCCCCCCAGCACCCAGCCGCCTCCCTGGTCTGACAACAACAGAAAAGAGGGCGGATGCACAGAAATGACCTTCTCCTGCCCCCCACCCCATCCCCAGGACGGGCTGGTTGGGCTCTCCTGGCTTCTCTCTGCAGCTGGACTTCTAAGCCCGAGAGGCTGTGGGGGCGCCAGGAGTCTGGTGCAGCCCCTGTCCGCGGCTGCCGGAGACTGCGGCTCATGCCCCATGGAGGGGTGGCAGGAGGCGGAGCAGGAGCCCGCCAAGGACCTCATTTACTTTGTGTATTAAAACCAAAAAGCTTTTGTCTTTAAGAAATAAAACCATTTTTTTAAGCCCCAAAAGGTTGCGGGAGGGTGGATAAGGGCAGCAGACACTTTTGGCTGCTGAGATGGAGCTGGGATCCTGGGCAGCTGACGGTCTCTGGGCCTGCAGCAACCGTGGGGACTGCCCCAGGCTTGGCTCAGCCTGGCAGCCATGGCAGCACTTGCTGCCCTCATATCTGCACTGTTTTTCAGAAGTAAGTCCTCTGTCCCCCTGCAGGGCCCCAGGGGATGGGGTGTGCGGTAGGAGAACAGAAATCTGCCCTGGACTCCATCTTCTTTCTTGAGCCCCAAGGGGACACCCAGGTGTTTGGGAGGAACCTTGCTGTGTGACTGTGAGCAGGGATCATCTCCTCTACCTTGTGGGGAGAGGACAGGATGAGTGGCCATGGATTCCTGGACTGGCCAGAGGGTGTGGGGGGCACAGATGCTGGAATTAAATCCCTTGCTTCTGGGCACACAGAAGGCGTGGGACCCCTCTGGGCATCTGACTGGGGAGGGGCTGGGCAAATGGCCCAGAAGATCGAGGTGCAAACGAGGTCCCAGCCAGGTTCACAGGAGAGTAGAGTGGTCCCTGACAGCTGAGGCCACTGGAAGACCTTCTCCTAAGTCCCCCAACCCACCCACTTGCAGACAGTAACTGGGTGTGACAGAGGACACATGTGCCTCCAACCACTGCCATCACTTATGAGGGGTCTGCAGAAAACTGTGGGTGAGGGGAGTGATCTGAGGCCACCCCTGCTGATGGGCGCACCTGCCAGGGAAGTCAGAGACCCTCTCTGCTAAGAGTAACCCTAATCCAGCCCCCAGGAGGTAAGACAGCCCTTCCCCACCCCAGAGGCTGCAAAGATGATCAGCCCCAGAGTGGTGGGCATAGTAGTCATGCTTCGATAGAGTCAATGAGATGGACTGATTTCCCCTTATTTGCCCTGCCCGCATCTCATCAGGGTGCCCTGAAGTGCCAGCCGTGGGCTGCATCTTCTAGATGGCCTCAAACAGGCCAAAGCCACATGAATATCCTTGCAAGAGGGACATCTTGTTTTTATTTAGAAGCTATGGTAGCTGCACCTGTGAGTGAGGTGCGGCCCTCCCCCTGTCCGTCCCCAGGGCATCCCCACATATTCTCCCAGTGCTCCATCTGGAATCCCACCATGGAGGCCCCATTCCTGTGGGTTGAGCATTGCCCCTACA